TTGCGTTCATAAACCCTCTCTGCAAAGGAGGTAGACGCTAGATGGGTTAGGTATATACAGTGTTTTTCATCGCAGAGAAAATTGTTGCTTATCTGCCTGTCTCGTATGCATTGAGATAGTTGATTCATTAATTAATTACAGAAATATATCGCATTCCAGTTACGAATGTTGAAAACAATATCCAGACTCTTCATTCCATGTTCGTCTCACGATACAAATTTCTAATTAATACTTAGTTTTAGGTCCGAGCAGCACAGTGTTTGGGATTCCAGGTCTTTATTATAAAAATCACGTTAAGTGGAAATGTGGATGAAGCCTACTGAGGCGACTTCTATTCGGAAACAAAACTTATATGTTGCAATCCAACTACGCACGTTGCAATATTCAGGTGAGTTTCTAATTCATCATCAATGTACAGCATCTAATAATGATCATTTTTTATTTATATGATTCGATATTTGATATGTGATGTGTAGTTGCAGATCTGAGAAGCACAGTGTTTGATACTTGAAACAAAATCCGGGAAAGCCATCCAGTCGAGCCGAACCAGCGTACATACATTTGTATGTACGCTGGCCGAACCTAAGAAGCGATCCAGAAAAAGAAATGACCTGAGTATACTTCTCTAAATTCAGATCACCATATTCGTACGGAAGGCGATATATTGATTTCTTTTCCAGATTCTCAAGCAAACAGATAGACAGATATTCACCTTTATGTCTCTATGGAAACACGACAGGTACCCTTACGAGGGGAGAGTACCAACTTTGCGTTCATAAACCCTCTCTGCAAAGGAGGTAGACGCTAGATGGGTTAGGTATATACAGTGTTTTTCATCGCAGAGAAAATTGTTGCTTATCTGCCTGTCTCGTATGCATTGAGATAGTTGATTCATTAATTAATTACAGAAATATATCGCATTCCAGTTACGAATGTTGAAAACAATATCCAGACTCTTCATTCCATGTTCGTCTCACGATACAAGTTTCTAATTAATACTTAGTTTTAGGACCGAGCAGCACAGTGTTTGGGATTCCAGGTCTTTATTATAAAAATCACGTTAAGTGGAAATGTGGATGAAGCCTACTGAGGAAACTTCTATTCGGAAACAAAACTCATATGTTGCTAAATCAACATCCATCATGTATGTACAGCATCTTATAATGACCATTTTTGATTCATATGATTCGATATTTGATATGTGATGTGCAGTTGCAGATCCAAGAAGCACAGTGTTTGATACTTGAAACAAAATCCGAGAAAGCCATCCAGTCAAGCCGAACCGAAGGAACGATCCACAGAGAAAAATCACCAGAGTATACTTCTCTAAATTCAGATCACCATGCTCGTACGGAAGGCGATATATTGTTTTTTTTTTTCAGATTCTCAAGCAAACAGACAGGTAACAGAATTTGAAAATAGTTCTCGTATATGTTTCAGTTTCAATTCCCAATTCATTTAAAATTCGATATTTAATATGAACCATGTTTTAGATCGAAGAAACAACGTGCTATGAATAGATTATTCGATCAAACCCAACGAAAAAAATAGCCCAAAAGAGGAAACCATCAGACTATAAACCACTGACCGGTGATGAGTTTCCCATTATTGTTACGAATCATATTCAATTTGTGACAGAGAAGCGATGTTTTTTTGCGATGAAACCACGATGTGATGCGATATATGACATCGCAGTAAAACGAAAAAAAAAAAAGTTCCTGACTGGTGACAGGTTGGTGATCCCTTGGGTCTCCTCTGTCCATTCAATTTTATTTTCATCAGAATAAGAATAATAAGATCAGTTACTCGTGTTTGTATCAAAAATTGTGTAGTGTCGTGTGTCAGCGAGATATAAGCCAACCAAGAATAGTTTGACAGCAATATGTATCGAATTTTTGCGAATTTAGCTTCACTATGTTGAGTTACGTATATTCATGTTTTCTTTTTTACCGAACAAGAGAGTAAATAACAAATTTTTGAAAAATTCTCGCAGATGAGTTTGCTTCTGTACATCGCAGCGATGCGACATTTGTGATATCGCAGTGTTGCCTTTTTGTTATAGCTCGATCAAGGATACTAGAGTATCATGGCTTGATACGAACGAATGTTTGCTTCTGTTTCTGTACATCGCAGCGATGGAACAGTGTTGCCTCATAGCTACACCTCAAAAGATGTCATGTCGCAGATGTGTTTGCTTATGAACATCGCAGCGATGGAACGTTTGTGATTTCTCATACTACATAAACGCGACATGTCTGCGAGATGTGATATGTCACAGATATGTTGGCTGGGTTTCTTCATATAAGTTTTGTGACTTGAATAATTTTTTTTTGATAACATACATTGTCCCTTTTATCCTTCCAACAAAATCCAGAAAACCGTTCCAGATCAAACACTATCAAAAATCGAAATTCATCATATACATATATCTACATTTTCTTTGAAACACCCTGAACTAATACTGAAATTGATCGAAAAATGTTCATGAAACGCTCCCCAAGGTACCTCTCAACCAAGGTCTATTAACTTCTATAAGGTTACCTCATAGTATAGCATTATGGTGCGGGGGTGCGCGGAGGGGCGTGACGTCAGTGTTTCCCCACCACGTGATTGTAGATTTCGTTTGTGTCACTGTCACAAATGAATTGAAAAAATTTTTGAATTTGAATTCGAAAGAATCGCGAATTTTAGACTTTAGTTGAAAACAGGGTGACAAGAAGACTGAAGATATCTTTGAAAGAGTGTGAGAGGTTGTATAATAATATGGTGTAGTATTATTCAAGGCTGGTCACATCATAAATATCATAATATTATTGTGTGGAGTCAAGAGTGGATATAGAACAAACAAATGTTATGAAATGCCTGTTTGGCAGCCTCCACATGAGATTCAGATAATTCCAAAGGAAAATGATGAGCTGTGGCAATGTGAATGTCCCTGTGAAGCAGGCATGTCACGGTTTTGTATACACATTTTATAGGGACTTATATTGACAGGTAGGAAGGTGCACTTTTGATCTATCACACACACAGGTAAAAATACATGAAATTTCAGGAATGAAGACTTGGAATATGTGAAGCTGCATATATAACAAACAGAAGTGGTGAAAATTGAAAAAAGAGAGTAGATCAATCAATGATCTATTATACAGCCAAACCATTTCAATAGTTCTGCTACCTGCTTATTAAAAGAAGGAAAGTGACCCCCTAAAATCATTCTTCCTTTATATAATTGAAGTTAATTTTACAGGGTGTATCAGTCTATTTTGTTTTTTGTTTGGAAGCCAATGAACTCAATGTAAACAACTAGCTATTGCATGGTACTCAGGAACACTGGTGAGTTTATTAAATTTTACTTATACTTGCTACTTCATTTTTACATGTAGCAAGGAGTCTTGGGAAAAAAGGCAATCAACTTCTTCTTTCCAAAGGATTTTTCAAATAAATTTGTTCAGCATGGAGTTGAATATGAATCCAAAGCTCTTTCAAAATGTTCATTGAAAATGATATTGAATTTCAAATCATGCAAACAAATTTGTGTCCCAATATTTTCCATTGTTAGGATTTTCTCAATATGAAATTATTTTTCAGGAAGGAAGACCATGGAAATAATTGAAATAAGTGTCCTTACTGAGGTCCTTACATAGAGGTTTGTTAAATAATGTGTATTACATTCAGCTTGAATTATTTTCTCAAAATTTTAGGTAAAGGTTCAGAACATTTTGTGGAACAATGCCATTTCTTGATAGGAGATGGTATAAAAAATGTGAAGTTGGAAGAGAGACACACTTATTATGGATAAAATCAGTTGGGAATAATGGCCCTAAAATGTCCCTAATGAACTTGAAAGAAACTAATTTTCTTGTATGATTCTTCTTCCTCCAAAACTTACATAAAGATTCCAGTTTTTTTGTGATACATTTTGTGTTAATGTTATGAGGAAGATATCTCAAAGATATTTCCATTATGTTGCACTTTTATTGCGTTAATAAAATGGAATGAATTGTGATGACTTCTTTATTAATTCATTTTCTTATTATTGCATTTTCAAACAATAATATGTTCCAAATTGATACTGAAATAAAACCAGTGAGTTAGAATCATTCAATTTATCCAGAAGGAAATCCTCTCTAGTTAATTGTTTCTTGTTTCTCAGTAATCAATTTCAAGATATTTCTTCACATCCCTTGTCAGCATGCCCTTATCCACCATGATTTCATCATTAGGTTCAGACTTCCCAATAACATTTTCTTTATTAAAAAATGCTTTATCAGTAGTTCAACCTACATATCCTTATTAATGCCAACAGTAATCAGTCCTAATGGAGTGGTATTGCAATAAGAATTTGACTGAGTTTCTGTAATGTGTCTGTACAACAGGAGCACTGAGGAACATATCTTTCTAGATTTCTGTCTTCAATCTTTTGTACTTGCTGCATGTTTTGGGAAAACAGTGAACAATCTCTTGGATACAAAAACATAATTGGAAAACTTCAAAATTTATCAATATTCACTTGATTGCACAATGCTAAATTTGTTTGTTTTGTTTTTCACCTCCGCCATTTTCAATTTGCCGTTCGACAAAAGACGATGGGGAAACAGTGACGTCAGGGCAGGTCAATATGAGGCAACCTTATAGAGTTGAATAGCCTTGCCTCTCAACCTTCCTTGGAATTGAAATTTTCTTCAGACTCCCTTCGAGCTCATATTACGACTATGAAATAGAAACTGGTCCATCCATTCCATAAGAATGCCTTGAGGGACGAGGTCGCCTCAAGGAGCGACTATAGATACGTGCCTATGTTTCCTCTTTCCTCTAATGTGAAAATGTTCATAATTCGAATTTATCGCCAATATCAGTGATTCGAATTCACCGCCGTAGCAACCCAAATCGCTCTGATTGGTCCTCTGAAATGGCCCATACATATGTCTGGGCAAATTGAATTCGTGTACTTGGCACGTACAACCTGAATTCAGTCAATGTCCAAAGTCAAATTTGACATTGTCAATGTCGATGTCAATTGCTGATGACAACTTTGTCGACCATTTTTTCTTTTTCCTCTGTTTTCATTCTCATTTGTGTGATGTTTGGAGAGATGATAAATTCCTGACAAATTCTCAAGAAATAATCATTCTCCTCACTATAATCTTCCTCAAAACGATCCAGTTCTAACTATGGAGCTATCCAGCATCCTGCCAGCGCCCGTACAGCCGATTTGGGATCGTGACGATGAACGCAAGAAAAGAGCGCTTTCCCAACCGTCCACGCTCCTCGTCAGCGCTCACAGCATCGCACCCCCTTATGGCCAACGACGCGGATGGGTGCCTCGTCACGTGACCGACTACGGCGACGGGGGAGCCTTCCCCGAAATCCACGTCGCCCAGTATCCCCTGGACCTGGGCAGGAAGACCACCTCCAACTCAAACTCCCTAGCCGTGCAGCTCGGAGCCGACGGCAAAGTCAAGTACGATGTGATCGCCAGGCAAGGCCACGCCAAGGACAAAATAGTCTATTCCAAGCTGTCTGACTTGCTGCCTGTAGAAGTAGTAGCTGAAAATGACCCTAGCCTGGAGAAGCCTGACCAAGAGGAAATCGATGACATCACAGAACGTACCAGGCAGGCTCTTATGAAAATCACTAATTCTAAGATAGCTGCTGCTATGCCTGTGAGGGCAGCTGAAAAATTGGGGCCTGCCCAGTTCATCAGGTACACTCCTTCCCAGCAAGGGGCTGCATTCAATTCTGGTGCCAAGCAGAGAGTCATTCGACTTGTAGAGGCCCAGGTTGACCCTATGGAACCTCCTAGGTTCAAAATCAATAAAAAGATACCTAGAGGGCCCCCTTCACCACCTGCTCCTGTGTTGCACAGTCCTACAAGGAGGGTGACAGTGAAGGAGCAAAAAGAATGGAAGATTCCTCCTTGCATATCAAACTGGAAAAATGCTAAGGGTGAGAAGTTGTATTTTTGAGATTATATAGAAATGAGTTACTAAAAATTGAATGTTTTGAAAACTCTGTAGTCATGTGAGAATTTGATTGGCAAATGGATTTGAAAATTTGAAGCTATGACACAAGTGAAATGCCTTTTTGCATAAGTGATATTCTTTCAATCTGAACTGAGTAACTGAATCAGTTAATATTTGTTCTTTCAAATGATGTTGAATAGGTACAAAGCATGTCAACTGGTTCAGTTCAAGTGGAATGTCTCAGTTATTCAGAAAGAAAGAATATCACTATGGTTGCAAAAATCATAAAAGTGAAGTTTGCATGTCAAACAACAACAAGAATAACATTTGTTGGGGTTTTCTGAAAAATTCAATCAGATAGATGAGCTTATATCACACCTTGAATGATCTCTGACTTCTTAGTCAAACAAGTGCTGAAAACAACTATTCCATTCAACATTTTCAGAAGTTGAGTATCAACTCATCTTTTCATTATTTTCTTATGTAAAATCTGTGGAACTTGACAATCACAGTGAAACATTTTTTTCAGCAAGCAAAAACTATTCATGAAAGCCAAAATTTGCCTAAACTGAGTCAAAATGTACATAAAGGTCCTATATTTTTGTAGAAATTCCTATTATTTCTCAAGGTGTTGGATCCAACTAATATGCCTATTTCAAATATGAATCATCCACAAAGTAGACATGATGACATTTTTGCATCCAAACCCCAATTTCTGTCATTGCAATTTGCACTAGTCAAACAAATGCAGAAAAGAACTATTCTATTCAACATTTTCAGAAGTTTTGAGTATCCACTCAACTTTTTGTTATTTTAATGTAAAAACTGTGGAACTTGACAATCACAGTGAAACATTTTTTTCAAAGCAAAAACTGTTCATGAACACCAAAATTGGCATAAACTGAGAAATGATAAAATCCTTAATGGCAGGGACACTCCACATGCAATGCTGAAACTTTTTCATTTTTCCAATGGTGAAATGAGTTCAAAATGTACATCAATGTCCTATATTTTTGTAGAAATTCCTATTATTTCTCAAGTTGAATAAGGTGTTGGATCCAACTAATATACCTATTTCAAATATGAATCATCCACTCCACAAAGTAACATGATGCAATTTTTGCATCCAAACCCCAATTTCTGTCATTGCAATTTGCACTAGTCAAACAAATGCAGAAAAGATCTATTCCATTCAACATCTTCAGAAGTTTTGAGTATCAACTCAACTTTTTGTTATTTTAATGTAAAAACTGTGGAACTTGACAATCATAGAACACATGAAACATTTTTTTAGAAGCAAAAACTGTTCATGAACACCAAAATTTGCATAAACTGAGTAATAATAAAATCTCTAATGGCAGGGACACTCCACATGCAATGCTGATACTTTTTCATTCATCTTTTTTCATTTTTCCAATAGTAAAATGAGCTCAAAATGTACTGAAAGGTCCTACATTCTTGTAGATACTCTTATTATTTCTCAAGGTGAATAAAGTATTGGATCCAACCAATATATTCCAAATATGAATCATTCACAAAGTAGACATGATGAAATGTTTGCATCCAAACCCCAATTTCTGTCATTGCAATGGCCCTTTTCTTAGGCAATGTGTCTTGATACCCATGCACAAATAAATACATCTCTATCATTCTTGTCTTTTGCCCAGCAAAGATTTTAAACAGTCTATAGCCCTATTCTGCTTCATACAGATATTGGGTATTGTCAAGAGTATTGTCTAAATTGATAGAGACAGTGAGAGTGAGAGCAACATCTACTAATGCTGTCATCAAATCAATGTAGAAGTTTATCTGAAATCACAAACTTGAAACAAAAAAGTTCATTGAAATCTGCTTTTTTCCTTTTTTTTATTTATTTATTTCACATAATCAGATCCACAAAACAGAGATCTTGTACAGAATCCCATTATCCATTTTGATTTTGATATTGCTCACATGTGAATCTGATAATCTTGTTGATAGATCAATATCATTATCCATTAAGAACTGATCTTCAAAGATGGCATACTGGAACTGCTTCACAAAAAGTTGGACAATCACAAAGGTTTTGTCCAAATTTCTTCCATGTTTGACCTGCCATTATCAGAGGATATTCTCCTCAAACTATTCATTCAGTAGAAACAAGTCACTGAAAATTAAATAGTTCAAAAACACTGTAGTAAATGTAGGCTACCTGCTATGTACCATTTTTCCTTTCAGGTTACACTGTTCCATTGGACAAGAGACTGGCTGCAGATGGCAGAGGTCTGCAGCAGCTCCACATCAATGAGAACTTTGCCAAATTGGCCGAATCTTTGTACATTGCTGACAGGAAGGCCAGAGAGGCTGTAGAGACGCGTGCACAGCTAGAGAAGAAGCTGGCTCAGAAAGAGAAGGAGGCCAAAGAGGAGCATCTGAGACAGCTGGCTCAGAGGGCAAGGGATGAGAGAGCTGGAATAAGGACTGCACCAAGTGAGTATCATTGATGAAATGCCATAAATTTATGTAATTTATTAGGTAAATTCAGTGATCTGATTATATCCAGGTGTGTTTCATTTGAAAAAGGTAAGAGGAATTATTATTTTTTTTCTGTTATGTTCTACTATTTTTTGTTCAAATTAATTTGATATCTGCAGGAAATCTATATCTATACTTATATTAAAACAATTTCTGTTTCAGGTCTGTGGAGTCAACTAATTTGAACTTTCTCTCATTTAACTATTTCAGAAAATTAATTTGTATGCCCCTGCAGTCATAATTTCGATTTTATTCCAGGTAGTGAGAAAGAAACTAAAAAATCCAGTTTTTTATCATTTAATATTGACCCACCCTTTCAGAAAAAAAAGCTCCGCCCCTGAAGTTGCTCTTTATCAATGCAAGTCCTGGATATTTTGAACGGGCTAGTGAACTGATAATGAATTATTGGAATTCATTTACTCCACTTTGTTGCAGTGGCGGCTCCTCAGAGGAGGCAGCGGAGGCTGAGCCTCCTCAGAGATTTTCCTTAAACTAATATTATTTATACTTTCTTTTTAGTCAAATATTTTTCAATTGGCAACAGTGCTTGCCCACGCATCACACGTTGAAGTCTGCAAATCACGCGTAAAATATTCAACTTGGCAACATCTATAGGAGGCTAGACTCCTTCACATAGCGCAACCTACGCGCGCAATGCAAATGCCCGTTGAATTTTAGAGCTCATTTCAAAGGTACCGTCATTGGCCGCCATTTGGCGCTATGTCGAATAAATGAAGCAAGGATGTCAAGTCACCAATTATAATAAAGTCATCAAAAAATGTTACCTGTCCTGTCGTTGAATGTAATGTAATGTTTGAACTGTTATATCTCTTTTTATCTCTAAATAACCACTGTGTGAATGCAGGGTGCACAATTTTCCATTGTACTGGTTCATATATACAAGGTGGCATTGAAATAAGTGCAAATATTTTAAGACTTGAGAAAGCTCCACGTATACTATCGAGTGGCACCGATTAAAAAAATATAGGGATCAAAGTAAAATTTGGGGTTAGACCCCTTTTTCCACCAAAAGTTCCACTCTGTAGCAATTCTGACGTCACCTCTGTTCAAATTTCCGAGGAGTTCAATCATTTGAATAGTTTTAAAGTGGCGTACTTGATTTTTTTCTCGTTTTTTATTCAATTTTCGGGATGAAATTTCTCGTTAATTAATAGATTTAGGAAAAATCTGATATCATGGGAATATTCTTTATACTGTATCATATCAATGTGTCGATTATATGTATCTATTTCAAAAACACCTCGTATACACAGTGCCGGATTTACCAGGGGTCTTTTGGGTGCTATAGCACCAGTCGGCAAAATCTTCAGGGAGGCTATATGAAAATACAACTGCACATCTTTTGTCATCAGTCATTATCTGGATATTTTGATTTTTTACGCGAAAGATTTGATCACTACACTACCTAAACTGAAATTCATGTTAAGAAGTGAATTATCCCAAGAAAAGCACAATTGGGAGAAAAAATACGGCAAAAAGTTCAAACCAGAGAGAAAAAGGCGGACACAATGTTTTATTTTGAGTTGAAGATTTGAAATTTTTCGTCGGATTTCCACCTACAAATCTTGGTCAGAATCATTTGTCTTTCTGTTCAAAGTAGTGTCAGCAGAGAATGGAAATTTGATCAAATTGGCAACTTAACTACAAAAAAAGTATGTAGAGGATCTGGACAAATTTGTTTCTGACAAATGTCTGAAAAAAAAACAGTTTTCTCTCCTAGAGACTAAAGCAGAAACTCCTATTATGGAATTAGTCCAAGTTCTACACGAGAATAATGTAATAATGTGATATAATATCTTCTTTTTGGTGTTTTCGAAATTTTTGAGCTAACAATTTTGTCTCAAACCAAACAAGATCTACTAAATGAAACTAATGTATAGGGCTTGTGGAGAGTATCATACATAAAGGCTTGCATTGAAGCAAGAAAACACATTTTTGTATTGTTACCTCATGTTCCTAGTTACGTACTTGCCTATTATCATTTGTATTCCTTTTTTATTCTAACATATACCTATCAATTTTCCTCGTTATTCATTATGTGAACACTAAAGAATTATGTTTTTAATTTTATTCCACAACATCCTGTTTGTTATATTTTTCATTTTGTTCATGAAACTTCTATAAAAAAAAAACTGGTGTGCGTAGAACTTCTATGGTATAGGTACACTGCTTATATGATTATGTCGGTCTTATGGTACGCGGCACCCGGGACGCGCGTTTGCCGTTTTACTCCGATCCCAGAAAACGTCCAACGTGCTCATAGAATTTATTGTCACTTCAAAAATGTACTGTATATACACTGTATATCTTACATGATAAAAATCTATTCTATTCTAATATACTATTTTATAACACTTTGCTTTCAAAAGCTCTGATCCGGGATGTCACCTGTGTAGATTCTTTAGCAGATTCCAATATAGTTTCATCTATCAAAGCTGCTGGAACCCCTGCTTTTGAGGCTGAGAAAAAAGTGCGAAAAATATAAATGTTTGGAAGACAAGTACATATTTATGCCATTAGGATTCGAAACTTTTGGACCTTGGGGACCTTCAGCCAGAGAAATGATTTCAACTAGTGGCCATTTGATTTATGCTCAAAGCAGTGAAGATAGATCTACTGAATATCTTCGCCAAAGAATTTCAATTGAGATTCAGAGAGGAAATGCTACTTCCATTCTCAATATTATTCCATCTCGCAAAGGACTCGAAGTAATTTTTTTATGTACTGGTGATACTTTTTTATTAAAAACACGGACTTGTGCAAGCAGATCTAAACAATAAGATTCATGTGAACTCTTTAAACCCATCCATGCTGTTGATCTCCCACCCACATCAAGTGTCTTTGAGTCATTATCGAATCACCAGTCAACCTATTCAACTCCATCTGGTATTCTAACTGAAAATCAAAATTCAAAATCGATATATCTCCGCTCCAGCGATAGAAATTGTGAATACTGGTCCAAGGATTATCCAATATCATGGAAGATTTCGGGAGTCAACGGCTTGAAAAACAGTGGGAACACGTGTTTCATGAACAGTATAATTCAGTGCCTGTCTCACACTAAGTAATTGTTGGAGTATTTGAGAATGGACTTCAATAACAGAGACATCAAAACGAGCATATCCAGCACAAAGGGATCTTTGATGAAGGCTTTCGCAGAAGTCATAAGAGAACTGTGGTCGGAGGATTTCGACTGGCCAAGGTGTGAATATGATCTCTTTGAAGGGCACAATTCAAAGATTTGGGCCGTGCTTCATCGGCAATGCACAGCAAGACTCTCAAGAGTTCCTGCGGTTCCTGCTCTTGGGTTTGCACGAATATATCAATGAGGTCATCGAGAAGCCGGATCCTAAGTTTACAGACATCGCTGAAATTGTGAATGTCAACGAAAAGGCTTCGAAGCCATGGTCGAGATTCTTGAAAGTGGATAATTCGAAGATAGTGAATAATTTCGTTGGTATGATGAAGTCTTCATTGAAATGCACGTATTGCGGCTATTCGTTTTAAGCCCTTTTGGGATTTGTCATTGCCAATACCACAGCAAATGCGCAAAATCAGTTTGTTTCAGTGCTTGGACTCATTCACCAGAGAGAAGTCATTGGATGGCGAAGACAAGCCTACCTGCTCCAAATGCAAAGAAAGGCTAAAATGAAGAAAGTCATTATCGATTCAGAGGTTCCCTGAAATTCTTGTCATCCATCTGAAACGTTTCTCGCTGGATCGGTTCGTAGAAAAACTGAACGTCTTTGTTGATGTACCTTTAGACAGACTCAATATGAGTAATTACGTTGCCGATGGAATTTACATTATGTACCTATTTGTATTTTACCGTACCTATGTTTTACAATGTTAAATTTATTTATTTTTATTTATACATATTATACATAATATTATATAACTTCGTATTGGACACAGTGGAAATCCACTACAATAATTGTAAACCATGCTTTGTCAATAAGGATTATTATTCTTGGACAATAAAGCACAGTATTGATTGATTGATTGATTGATACCATTCCAGTACAATCTCTATGCTATTTCGAACCACAGCGGTAGCATCAACAGTGGTCACTATACAGCCTATTGCAAACATCCGTACTCGAACATCTGGCACGAATTCAACGATAGTCATGTTTCAAAAATTTCAGATTTGATCATCAGTCGAAAAGCGTATATCCTCTTCTATCAAAAAATACCCAAATTGTATCAGAATTATTGGAATGAATTCATACAATATAATTAAGGTACTAAATAGTTTTGGTCATGTTTAGGTCAAATCGTCCAAATGGACACTCTTCTTGTTTTGCTTCTACAGATCTCTTAGAATAGACTTATTTTTATGACTGTATTTACTACATGTATTACTTTTTCTACAAACGTCAAAAAATGACAAGGTTAACGCATTGATAACAAATTGCGAAGTGACACTTTTTTTCAGTTTCCTACGTTACCATGATACGTTGCACAAAACAATGCGCGAAGTAAAACAGTGCGCGAAGTACCTACTTCGCGCATTATTATGTAAAATATATGAGATATTCATATTTCAACTTTATGGTCCTCAATCGAGCAAACATTAACGAAATCATTTATTTCTGAATGTTCAACAATAACTTTGTTTTATCTCTTGGAGCGCACGAAAGGAAATTCCAATTATGTTCGTGGAACATCGTGCGTATCTAGGGAGGATAGGGGAGGCCTTTTAAGACAGTTCAACACTATTTTTTACATCAAGCTAAGCATATTTTTACTTCAGAACTATATTTTTTGACGTTTGTAGAGAAAATGTTGTTTGCAACTCGAGCGCGAAATACTTTGTTTAACTCGGCTACGCCTCGTTGAAAAAATAAGACCTCGATCACCAAAGTAGCATTTCGCGCTCTAGATACAAAAATAACTATTCTTTAATAGTGAATTTTATTAAGTATCAAAAAAAATGTATCGCAGTATATCAGTTTTCACAATACATGCATCCTAGTGTCGGAGAAACGTGAACTCCATTATGTTTGTATCTATTTATTTATTTACCAATATGGGGGTTACAAACAGATTGAACAATTCAAAACAGAACCCTATACTTGATATATCAGTTAGTGGGTTGTAAACAAGAAAAGAAAAAAAAACATGAACAAACGGAAAGTAAATTATGGAATAAGAAATAGTAAATTCAGTTATACAATAAGTGTGAAATCTATATACTTACATATGATCAGAGTAATACTTCTTAATTTTAAATTTGAAACAATTCAAATTGAGTTCAAAATATTTAATGTCATTACAAGTGCTGTTGAATGTTCTAAGCAACCTGCATAATGGTGAATTCTGAGCAGCGTTAGTTTTTTTGAAAGGTATTCTGAAGAATTCTGGATTTCTCAGCTGTCTTATTTAAACATTGAATTCAATCTTCAAGAATAAATACGGGCACTGTGTTAGTCCTTTCATCAGTTTGAAAATCATTATCAAGTCTGTTACATTTCGCCTATCTTTGAGAGGTAATATATTGTGTTCACGCATCAGTGGAGTGTAGTCACTATTAATGATTTATACATTCGTTTTATAAGCAATGTATCTGAGGAATTTTTTCTGTACTCTCTCAACTCTATCTATGTGAACCTGATACTGGGGATTCCAAACAACTGACCCGAAACAAAGTTTACTGTGAATATATTCCTTATAAATACTAAGAAGACACCTTGTATTCCTGAAATTTTGGCAACTCCTTTTGAAAAGAATCGAAAAGCAAAAAAGGCGTTTCCTTAGTCGTCCTTGTCCGTCTGTTCCAGGCCACCCGAAACAAGCCGACGACGACGAGCAGGAGCGCGAAGCCCTGCGCCTCGACCGACACAAAGAGCGAGCGCGCGACCGCAACCTGGCCCGAGCCGCCCCCGACAAGCGCAGCAAGCTGCAGCGCGAGCGAGAGCGCGACATCAGCGAGCAGATCGCGCTCGGGATGCCCGCCCGCGGGGTGGCAGCCGGCGGCGAGGGGCAGTTCGACCAGCGGCTGTTCGGGCAGGCGCAGGGCTTGGGGCACGGCTACGGGGACGACGAGGCGTACGACGTGTACGACAAGCCGTGGCGGGAGGGCGGGTCGATGGCCAATCACATTTACAGGCCGGGGAAGAACGTGGACAAGGAGGTGTACGGGGGGGAGGATCTGGAGAAGGCGATCAGGACGAACAGGTATGTTCTTTTTTTTCTGACAGTTGTTATGTCAACAAATTATAATTCTCAGATGTCAGTTCGTTATAATAATAATAATCTTTATTATTCCCAAGAAACTTATTGTCCCCTCAATGCCAGAAGGTCGTATGTAGATCATCTAAAAAATGAACGGTATATCACACCCATTTGCAAATGAATTTCTGAAGGTTCATCAGGAAAGTTTGCTCTCTACAGAATGGAGTCAAAATACAAGTTTCAGTATTGTTTATAACCATGTTTATAACATTGCTTTTGTTCCAGTGAAGAACTACATACGACCTTTCACCTTGTCGGAATTCCTCGTGAAATGTTACATAATGAGAGCATTTCAAGGAATTGAAACTTTAATGATGATTGAAGTAAAAAACAAATCCACAAATACCTAAATTTTTAATTTGAATGAGATTAGGTGTCTTCATGGTCAGGTTCTGGAACTCTCTCGATAACGTTGGAACTAGATGGCAGAGACCTATAGAAATTAAGGTACATAGCAGACATTGCATCTACTCTACAAAGGTTCACTACGCTCTTCTCCTTCTTCTCAGATATGGGTATTGGTTTATTATACTTCTTCTTCAATTCTGGCTGTGAATGATTTTTTCTTTTGGTGTTGGTGGAACGATCGAAATTTCACTATAGTTCTCCTGAGATGATCATCTTCAGCAAAAATTGTTTGCGGGCAAGTTTTAAACTTGTGAGGGTTGAAATCACTCACCTCTTTCGAGAATTGGAATTATACTGGACTAACACGAATCCGCCAAATGGTCACATTCACTTTATTTTTAGGTGAATACCTAAAGAACGGCACACCTGGCTTTTTGCTCTACGATGACATAGTTCAGCGTTAACTGATAGATTATGGACTCCAGATCGCATGTACAGATTCAAGCACATACGGCGATATGCCGAGAATGGTATCGAAATGATTCACTACCTTCAGTACCTTCTCATTCTCGACTTGAGGTTGCATTAATATATTAATGCACATACGACCTTACGTCAGGAAATGTGTTTGAATTATGAACATGTCTTGACATTTTTGATAAAGGGTTGTTAATTCTTAATGGAGCACGACTGCACGTATGACCTTTTTTCTAGATTTGTGTGAAAGTAATGTACCAATATTAATATTATCTATCGAAGGTTGCATGTACTCATTTGTGCACTTACGACCTTATGTTAATAAATATGTGAGGATGATGCATATTCTGACTAGTTAACCAATAGTTGTATGTGGCACAAATGCACGAACGACCTTCTGCAGTTCGAGAAAATGTTCAATTCAATCTAAATAGATCGCGTCAAAGTGATCTATGACTACATTTCTCACATGAAACTTTTTGCTAGTCAACAGTTTTTTTCAAATGCACATACGATTTTAAACGATTATAAAAAATTAATATATACGATAGTACTCGAAGAAATCTTCACATACGCACCAAAATGTAATTTCCTGAAACGTACGATATATAGGGAGATGAAAATTGTGTATATCATGAAGAAAGGCTGAAAGAATAACTGGACTTCAGGTTACTGATGAGGATTTGATATCCGAAATGAGTTTTACTTCAGTGATGTAAGTAATACACCTTTACCTTTATGAAGTGGAATTGTGGTGGCTTATTCAAAGAACTATATTTGGGGTTTTCAACATTATATTACAAAATCACAATTATCAAAATTACTAATTATGGAGAAATATACCGAGATACTCACGATTAGACAAAAATTATTGACACATTCACCGAGATACTAACATAGATGTATAAAAGGTCAAATGGTGTTATTACTTCCTGTTGAAAGGAGTTTCGAAATCTCTCGATATCGCCTACTTTGTAAAAATAGCGAGGTGTGGGAAAATCTTGCTAAATTTCCGAAGTTTCATACCAAATTTACAGGCATCATAACACATTCATTTGAGTTCACATTTTTAGTTTAACATTTTTTTGTGTAAATGAAAACGGTGCGTAATATTTTCGACTTTCAATGGTGAATTCATGAACGACACGAAGTCCTAACTCAAGAAAATCTTGTGATAATAGTTTATTTACTCACTTTTGGTACATGAAATGTAACGAATGTTCGGATTTTCAAATAAACATCACACATTGCAGCAGAGTCAGTCCATGATGAAAGCAAAATACACTCTCACCCAACTAATATAATATCAGCCTGCTCAATGAACCACTAATGCTCATATCAATTATCGTTCATAATAATTTATAATATTTCTATTTGAAATTTGACCAAATAAATCATGAATATATGTCGAGTCAAGATCAAGATGTTTCCGCACGGATTATCTGTTGCGTCCTGTCTCGTTTGCGGCCTGTCTTTCGATGCTTCTATTCAGCTATTATTGAATTCGTGCATCATCAACGAGACTCTTCAGGTCCCGAAAGAAGGAAAACTCATCCTTGAAAGTCTTCTTCAACTTCATAATAAGATTCGAAACGCATTTTGAGATCTTCCAAGAAATTTTCAATCATTCACGCCATCTATCATCGAATATGAGAACCCTACGTTCCGAACTCGCATTCAATTGTTCATATCGAGACTAATGCGGGTGCAAAACAAGTGCACCACCAGGTTCACGAATATAATTCGATATAAGTCTGACGAAACAATTGAAGAGTGGGCACACCAGAGGAATTATAAACATCTCAATACTAACGATCAGACAAATTGAGGATTATGATAACAAGTTGAATATATTCTTGTAACGATTTTTTCAGATTCGTTCCCGATAAAGAATTCGGGGGAACGGACAGAACTGGGGCAGGCCGAGCCGGACCTGTACAATTCGAGAAGGAGGAGGATCCCTTCGGTTTGGATCAGTTCTTGTCGCAAGCCAAAAGGGCTAGCAAACGCAAGGAGCCAGAGAAAAGGGACGATAGAGACAAGAGAAAGAGGAGAGATTGAATGTCCACGTGGACAAGTGGAAATGAAATATGGAGACCTTCTTGAGGGTTTGACTAGGGTTAACTCAATCACTGACGTTCATAGCTTGATTTTTTTTCTCTATGTTTGAAGAAAGAAATGAATTCAGTGATTTTGATAGCCGTGGTTAGGGCTCTGATGAGGTCTTGAGAGATTTGTTTTGGTTCTTTTGCAGACTGTTGCAGAACGGCCCTGGAAAAACCGAAACGACCTTTTTATTGGATTCCATAATATCTTTTTTTTAATGATTAGGTGAAAAGTATGATTGAATATTAATAAATGGAGTGCCCGAGAACTTATATCTTAACATTTTTATTTGGCTGAGAATAACATCTCATGTATCTCCCATCACATCTGTTGACACTAAAAAGTGTATTACCTACATTCATCATACATATGTTTTGATGTGGCTTTAATGGTATAATTCCACAGAAATAAAGATGTATACAGTAATCAGTAGCAGTGGCGTGCCCAGGATTATTTCTGGGGGGGGGGGTCAGTTCAATCTATGAATGAATAATGACGCTCCGAATGGATCTTGGGAGGGGTTCAAACCCCAAACAAAACACCCTTGGTCACGCCACTGATCATCAGTGAAGTGTTATTATTTATAAAGGAATGATAAGAGTATGCTTATTAGTAGTTGTGCATGGATGGGGTTGTTAGGTTTTATACAATAAACTGTCTTCCTCGCCCTATTAAAAATAGCGGAACGAATCAGAAACACGGCCTTATAAATAATTTATGTATTGAAAACTCAAGAAAAACCACTCGACCGCTTACTATGATTTCTCTACGTCACATCGAGCGAGACGTTACATCTACTTTTTTCAGCTAGATAGCGATGCTGCTATTGCTGCTGTGACAAGTGAAAATAAAATGGCAAATTACATTTTAGGTACAGGGGATTTATTTCAATCTAAATATGGAAAATCTGCGGTAATTTCAAAATTGACAGATGTCATAATTGTGCAATATCGCCATCTATTAAAATATCGCCGAAACTATTGTTCTCCAGAGGTCCAGAAGAATTTCTGAAACAACAGCTCTGAGCTCATCAGTAAGAACACCATCTACTTATTTCCTTTATTGGCATGACAGATGAAACATGTTTCATGTTTCTCATTGGTTGACATTTTTAGACCAAAGTATGAAAGAAGGATGCATCATTGCATGCACAAGGAGCAACAAAAATTTTAGTGGGTATTAATCCTTTGAAGTTCATCATTTTTCCCAGGAAGTGTGGTCATTTTTGACCTTGACATATGAGTACTCTCGCCATGTTAACCCGAGGATATTAGGTATTTCTATATTTCTTGACTGCATAGTATGGTAGCACCATAGTGGACTCCCACATAGGTGTTACTAGCTAGAGGATAGCAATATCATGGGTAAACTGATGTCCTTATAGGTATAAATCAAACGAATATATCTAAGGATATATTCTATAAAATAGGTTGTAAGACGCGATGTTTCAGAGGTGTTTCAAAACTTGGCTACATACTTCTATGTTCTATGGTAGGTAAATCTTCAAGTAATGGATGGCCGTACTCAAAAGTAACGAAAGAAACATTAATTTTCATTTTGAAAATTACTAGTGACGCGCCACTGAACTATAACCCTAGGGTTATAGTTCAGTGTGACGCGCCTGTCAATGTCAAACTGTCCCTCGTTCCGCGGGCGCGAAAGGCAGAGTACAATAACGGTTGGATGCTTTTGAAGTTGAGAAGTTGAGCAACGGGTGGAGATCGAAAAAGAAGACTTTTAATTTAACCTCCACTACTTCCAGGAATCTTGCTGATCTCAGATTTCCAAATCCAAACATAGTTTGAAAAATGGAAGTCTCTAGTGAATGCCAATTACAAATCAGGTTGATAACAAAACAGGGCTTGTGAGTATGCCATTCCGTTCCTTGAAAAACACCAACTGATTGCCTATTCTATTGTTAGATATGCAGTCCCAGATGTGCCCCTTTCGGTACCGCAAACGATAGATACCAAATCTCTAAATGATTTGGTGAATCAGCTATTGAAAGAGGCCAATCCGGAGTTCCTCAAGCCTAAGGACTTTGATTTCATTGTAATCGGCGAGTTACTGAGGGTACCACTGATAGAACATTTACAGGAACGTAGTGTATCAACAGAGGTTACTGTTGAGATCGAATATATTGAAAGAACACCCGCTCCAGAACCTGAGGATTCATTATTACATGATGATTGGGTCTGTGGAGTTCAAACAGCAGATAAATGGTGTGTAAATTTTCAATGAGCCTATGTTTATGTAAATGGTGATTCCCATTCTTTCAAGGATTCTCACAGGTTGTTATGATCATTCTGTAAACATTTGGACTACCCATGGTAAAATAGTAACTTCCTTGAAACAACACACTAATTTTGTGAAAGCAGTAGCATGGATAGACAAAAGTGATCCATCCAAAGGCTTTGTCAGTGTTTCACATGATCTTACAGGAATTATATGGTCAATAGAACCTGGTATGATGTTTTTATTTTTTATGAGTAGCACATTGCAATGAAATATCCATTATTTTAGGTACTGATAAAATTGTCCCAGAAGCCATACTAAGGGGACATGAAAGGGGTGTTGATAGTGTAGGTGTTAGTCCCAATGCCTCTAGGCTGGCTACTGGAGGGTGGGACACAAATTTGAAATTGTGGTCTGCTTCCCTAGAGGAAGATGAACCAGCCCTAAAGAGGAGTAGGGGAGGAAATGCTGCCCTTGTGAAAACTCCCTTGCACACTCTGAAAGGGCATAAAGAGGCAATATCTTCCATTAATTGGTTGGACAATCATGTAGTATGTACTGCCTCTATGGATCATACAATCAAATTTTGGGATGCAGAGGTAAATAGAACTAAGTACCAATAAGTTTATCTTGATTCCATATTAAATTATTCATAGTATTAAAGAATCATCCTGCCAGTTCCCAAAACCAAGACTACTTCAAGACTGGGACAAAATATTACTAATTGGCTAATTTTTCTAGATTTTCCTGCTTTCATACTAGTATTTGGTCCTGAATTTAATCAGAATCTATTAGATTTTCATTAAGGTGAAGTGATCTTGGATAGTAATTAAAATAAAGTAGCATTTATCAATTATTAACAAGTGATGAGTATATTGATATTTATGTATACCAAATTAATAGTATGCAATTGAAAATGCCCTAAATCTGGCCTATCAAAGCAATAACCTAACGAATTCTTTGTTTACAATTTACATAAGGAGCTAAAATTTCAAGTTTCATAATGTTTTCTGATCTGGAAGAGACTGGGTTACTTTTATGCACAATTATTCTGTTGATTGCAATTGTTTTATGTTAAAACAAACATAACATAACATCTGTCAGATATCAGGTCTGACCAATCTATGCCTTAAAATGATATATGTTACTTGATAATTGTTAGATGATGCTGCATATTTTCACCTTAAAATGCAAAATTAAGATTTCACTATTTTCAGAATCAGTTTATAAACCTAATGGAATTTTTTCATAAATTATCTTGGAAAAAATCAATTTAATGTGACCTGAGAGATTACTTGAACTTGATTGCAAAAACATGATTGAACATTGATTGGTTCAATCTCTTTATGCTGTTCTGATGTGCTCTCTAAATGCCGCCAAATTTAACCTAATAATTCATATAATAATATTGGCCAATCATAAAATTCTATCAAAGATATGTACCTGAATGTTTACTGCCCTAATTCATTACAGATTCTTCTACAATTCATTTGCATCAAGAGTGATACTGAAAACCATTCAGTTTCTCTATTTTAACTGTTACTTCTAGGCAAATACCACTTACTATCTACTTTATTTTCAACCTCCATAACAACCAACACCACCTGTATTATCCTCCCCACATTTCACTTATTCAATTTCAATAGTAGGCCAGGAAGCCTTCCTCAGATCCTTCTTGTAAACAATTGATGAAGATAGTTCATATACCTAAATGTTCACTGTCCTAATTCAAAATGACCTTCTACTTACTAAGTACCTATATTCTTGCTCCAGATAATAAATTTAATTGAGTCCCCTCCCTCATTACAGTTCCTTCTTCAGTTCATGGGCATCAAAAGTGAAATATCCTCCCCACAACCATCGGTGGTAACGGCTATGCTCATATCAGAGCTAACCTAACAATAGTGTGTGTGCCTCTCAAGAAACCATGTCAAAATCGCGTGTTCTAGAATGATCAATTCCTTTTTATCCCATCCATTTACCAGTTACCTCCTTATTTCTTTCAATTTCTCAGTAAGTTCTCTAAGACTTAGTTGAAGTGATCTCTAATAGTAATTAAAATAAAGTGCACACATTACTCGAACTCAAGGGTTTGGACAATTGAACTTATTTAAAACTAATTGATTTTCATTGTCCTAACTCAAATCGAAATTCTACTTCCTGAGTGCATTCATTCAACATTCTTCAATTCTTCTCTAGTTGATGGGCATCAAGAGCGAAATAGTCGGCCAAAAAGCCTTCCTCAGCTCCTCTTGGTCCCACCTATCGAACGCCCTATTAGCCACCTCGGCCGACCGCCACATTCGTCTGTACGACCCTCGCTCGTCAGAGGGCGCCGTTTGCAAGACGACCTTCACCTCCCACCAGCTGTGGGTGGGGTCGGTCACGTGGTGCGGCTACGACCAGCATTTGTTTTTGTCCGGCGGGTATGATGCCGCGGTTAAGCTGTGGGACGCCAGGAGTCCGAGGGCGCCGCTTTATAATTTGCAGGGACACCAAGGGCAGGTGTTGAGCGTGGATTGGTCGAACGATAAGTATATGGTGTCTGGTGGGAGCGATAATAGCGTGCATATTTTCAAGAATAAACATGTTTAAGAGGTTTTTTTCACTACTTGTCAGTTGATATTGACGGAGTGAGTCTGAGAGGAAACTGACAGACTGAAGGTTGAAAATAAAACATGGATGATAATTATTGGTTACCTATAATAATGAGTGTAGATAGGTACCTATAGTAAATGAATAGAATTCATAAAATTTCAGGAAGATCTATTCTGATGATGTCTAGAATTGTATCTGTTATTACATTCGATGCAATATTCATGATAAAATTATTCAAATGTTTCTGAACATTTTTAAAATTGAAAGGGTGTGTGAAGATTATAAAAAAAAAAAAAATCAGGCCACTCGCAAAAATCTTTAGAATTTCAGTTATAAGTCAGTGTTAATCATTAGCTCTTCTGGAATTCATTTATCTGACCCGTTACTTAACTCTTTGTTTTTATTGATTTGTTCTGGATGTAAATAAGAATCCGAATTTTAATAAGACTTTATAATAAAAGTAATTATACAGAAAATAGTTTCTTCGCATCATTTCAGTCATCTGATTCTGTTTACTATCCACCACTTTCCTATTTATTTCCTATCGCCAGCTCGAAAAGGAAGTATTCCTAAAAAAAAGTAAGCTCAATTTTCCCTGCAGAATTATACAGATGCTCTCAAAGGTGAAGCATTTTTTTAAACATAATGTAGAAATCGTTGAAATATATAAATGCACCAAATATCGCCTCAATAAAAGTTGTATAATAACGGATACATCATCAATTGAACATTTCATACATTTTGAAATAATTTAATTACGGTCCTGGCCGTACGAATCTCTGTTTGGTGATTACCAGACTGATCCTCCGTCTCCCTACTACTGTCCATCTACTCACCTAATCGAAAGTATGCATTTGCTCCCTATTTCAAGGACACAGACCTGTCAATTTACTCACTCGGGAGGAAAACAATACTACCTCCCGTGGGAAGTAAAATAAATTAGCTTTAGCTTGCTTTCTTGATAGAGATATACATATAATTTCATTGTTGAACTGTCAAATTGATTTTCGTTCAGATTCAAATACTATCTGTAACCTTAGATCATGGTAACACATTTATTTGGATCGAGGCTGGAGAGATAGACTGCTTGAAGCACAATTTTAAGAACGACACTCTCAAATATATACGTTCGTGGATAAAATCATATATATATCTCGGGAGCAAAATTAATTTTCCCTCATGTGTGAGCATAATGCTCTCCGCAACACGTCGGGCATTAGACTTCACACACGAGAGGAAATTGATACCTTTGCTCCCTAGATATATAAATAGTTATTGTCTAACATTTTTGATCGGATCCGGAGTTCCAATTGTTTTTTGTGAATTTTTGAACAACGGCGCTCGTTTACGAACATAATGAACTTGTGGCATTTGATTTATGGTTAGTGTCGCCAAAGTACAGCAGTATACCTATTTATACAACCTGTTGAAAAAAATGCATCACCTTTGAAATAACCCTGTTTTTCAGAAGTAAACAAAACAAAATATTTCAAACTTTGAATGTTAATTGGGACCTGTTTATAAAAAAATAGAGGTTCTTACCCAGAAAATGAAGTGGATGTAGGGGCATTGCTAGCCTGTTGTGCCAAATTTCCAAAGCCAACAGTGTTTTGATTCGCTAAATTTCCAAAACCAGGACTACTAGCTGTGGGAGAACCAAAAGCGGCTAAAAATCGTTAAATTGGTCAATTGACTATGAAAACTGACAAATTCATTTACATTTCAATTCAAGTGATACTTCTACTGTATTCAAGCATGTTATCATTTTTGTATTTTCAGTAGAGTCCGACCAGGTAAAGTTTGGAACAGCACGTGGTCACGTATGCATTGAATTTGCAAAATCGTTGAAACACGTGGTGTCCCAAAGTGTACCTGGTCGGACTCAACAGCTCGAATTTTTGATACCTATTTTGTAATTAAGATTCTTGAAGATAGCGAATCTCTTCTCGTAACTGTAAAAATTGAGTACTGTATGTCGTAATGCAGATATGAATAGTGGTATCACCTTGAAATATATTCATCTAGTATGAAAAAACCATTCACCCCATAGAGTAAAACATACCTGTTGGTGTACTAGAACCGAAAACCTTATTCGGGCTCCCAAAAGCAGGCGCCGCTCCAAAAGCAGGCGCTCCTCCAAAACTAGGACTCGCCCCAAATGCCGCCTGCGGAGATCCCCCAAAAACTGCAGTCCCCCCGAAACCCGAAGGCTTCTGGAAGCTAGAAGGCGAACCGAAACCGCTTTGCCCCACGCCCGCCGTACCTCCAGTAGCACTGAAAGGACCAGGCTGAGGACTACCGAACGAGGAAGTACTACCACCACCACCGAAGGTACTCTGTCCGAAAATTGACCCCTGGCCACCGAAGGCCGCCCCACCAGTACCGAACGTAGTGGTACCGAACGCGCTCTGACCGGTGTTGCCGAAAGTACTGCCGGTACTAGCGCCAAAAGGCGATGCCGTAGTGGCAGCTGGGGCACCGAAGATGCTAGCACCACCTCCGAAACTAGGCTTCTGCTCGGCTGAACCAGCGAACGGATTAGGAGATTGCCCGAAAATACTGCCCGTGGTTGAGGTAGCAGTACTACCCACGTTCAAGCCACCGAAACCGAACGAAGTGGTACCTGTCGCCGTATTCCCCGTGGCGAAACTAAATGAAGAACTCGACACAGCTGGTGTGCCGAAAATAGTACCGGAAGGACTCGATACCGCTGGAGCACCAAAAACATTACTCGTAGAACTGACAGTACCGAAAGTAGAGGCACCAGTTCCTCCAAAGATACTAGCAGACGTGGTAGCAGCACCAAACGCCGGAGCAGCACTAGCTCCGAAAGTAGGTTGTCCGAAACCAGTAGCTGTAGTTGCTGGTGCTGCACCGAAAACGCTGCTGGTACCTCCGAAACCACCGAAGGTACTCGCCGTCGTTGTCGGAGTGCCAAATAAGGAGCCAGACTGCCCGAAGGTGGTGCCGAAAGGAGAAGATGAAGTGACAGCAGGAGTACCAAAAGCAACAGCAGCAGTTGTCGTAGGAGCACCGAAACCAGAGGGTGTGGTTGTGGTGGCAGCAGAACCGAAAATCGAAGACTGCTCAGTTGTGGCTGCTGCTGAACCGAAAACGGATGACTGGGTACTAGCACCACCGAAAATTGGTGCTTGTGTGGTTGCAACCACACCACCGAACAACGAACCACTCTGCACTGGCGCAGAACTGGAGCCTCCAAAGATGGAAGTCTGATTGGTGGTTGCGACAGTGCCACCAAACACTGACGATTTTTCTGTGGTCGCAGTTGAAGCCCCAAAAATTGAACCTTGAGGAGTACCACCGAAAACAGGAGTTTGCGTGGTTGAAGGAGTAATTGCTCCAAAAGCAGATGTTGTGGTACTACTACCAAAAATGGATGATGATGCAGTGGTAGTAGTGCTAACACCAAGAAATGGCGTTGAGGATATTACACTGGCGGTAGGGGTATTAGAGCTGAATATAGATCCACTAGCAGTTGTAGTAGTAGAAGCTCCAAACGTACTAGAACCAAACGAGGGGATGGTAGTAGCAGTAGTTGTTGCGACGGTCGATCCAAATATCGAAGGAATACCAGTCGTTACAGTACTAGTTACGGATACAGGAGTAGCACCAGCACTACAGGTTACCGTTAAAAATATAGATGGACTCACAGACGCTGTAGTTTTAAACCCGAATGTAGGTGTAGTACTGTCTACAGCAACAGGTGGTGTTGGAGTACTCGCAACATTAGTAGTTGTGGTCGCCAAAATAGCAGATAATGTTGGGGTAGCGCCAAAAATTGAAGCGCTAGTCGTAACTGCAGAACCAAAGAGAGCAGTCGGCGTATTTGTACTAGGAGTTTCTAACCCTGGAACTGATGTGCTAGTGAACGTAAAGGCGGTACTACTGGGCATAGAAGTTTTTGTAGCAGACTGAGTTGGTTTGGTGGTAGAAACAGCAGTACTGGCTGCCAGGGGTTTACTAATAACAGACGGTGCTACTGATGCTTGTGCACTGGTTGTAACTGAAGATTTTGTTAACGACAATGTTGTAGGTAAAGCTTTGTTGGTAGCAACTGTAGTTGGAACCCCAGTGCCCAGATTTGGTGTAGTTTTTGTAGTACCAAAAGATGCAGCAGAAGAAGCACTAGTAGTGCTACTAGTAGTGATAACTGCAGCTGAAACAGTTGTACTAGCCGCGACCATCGTGCTATTAGATGGAGTTCCAAAAGATATGGCACTAGAGCTTCCAAATAATGGCACACTCGTCTGTGAAGCACTGCCAAAGAATGAACTGCTACTTGGGGTACTTTCAACAGTTTCATTCGAAGTACCACCAAAAGAGAATAGGGACTTGGTACTGGTTGCTGAACCAGTTGGTGTTACTGCAAGAGCAGGTTCTGATTTCTTACTACTGACTGGTGTTACAGTAATACCGCTACCGAAATTCAATTGGGGAGTACTAGATTTGATCGATATGACCGGCTGTGACTTTGATGTACTAACTGCAGTTTTATTTGGAGTTACGCTAGAACTCTGGCCACCAAATGCGATAGAAGGCGCAGAAAAAATACTGTTTACTGGTATGTCCGATGTTTTCGGCACAATCACGGTTTTACTGGCTGGAACGGCAGGAACAAACGCAGAAGAAACACTTGAAAGAGAAGTTTTACTCGTGCTCTGAGTATTACCGAATATAAAAGTGTTTGCTGGATTGACATTAGGATTACTCGTGGAAATGTTATGTTCCAGGTTCTTGAATGTAAACATTTTTGGTGCTTCTGTTTGAGCAGGAGTATTCGGTGGCGCTAGAGTCGGCTTTGTATCTATCTTAACTTCACGGATAGGGGTAGATTGAACGAAATCGAGGTTCCTCGCTACCTTCTTTTCCACAGGCGACATCTTTGCTCCTAATATCGAAAAGGTCTGCCTGCTACGAGTTGCTGGAGAAAGAAGTAGCGACGAATTCAATTGGGGTTTGACTACGCGTACGACCTCTCGCGATTTAAGTAAATTTCTGAGCTTCGATTGTTTGGTAGCGGTGAGATTTTTTGTTTTGTTCAATGCCGTTTCATAGATGGTTCGGTAAGGATCTTCCGGTTCTAACTGTAAGCGTTTCAGGTCGTCTTCTAGCTTACTCCCATCGCCAACGGTCAGGAAGAGAGGTGGTCCACTGGGATTGGTCTTTTTGTGTTTGATGCGTCTAGATATATCTTTCAATATGTATCGCTTAAATAAATTAATTAGTAACCAACTTTTACCTCACAAGAAAAATGAGTGTATTCTACCTGTTTTTGTAGGACGGCATTTTGTTTGACCATTGACTGGAAAATAGCTTCCATGGTGGGCATCTGCACCTTATAAGTTTTCTTTGCATAATCCTATGAATCAAAAAAATATACTGATGTGAATAAGATAGTGTCAGTGCCACATTTTTTATAATCATAATTATGGGATGGTGATGGTGACTTGACGTTCAACAAAATGGCATATTGTTCGTATAAGCTTTGTAACAAGAAATAATTTCTGTTGTGACACCCGAGATTACATGAAAAAACCTTAAATTCACCTGAAATTTGTCCCATTGTTCATCCAGAGCGTTGTTGGTCTGGGACAGCTGCGACTCCAAATAATAAATCAGTTTCTGAATATCTGACTGCCTCTTTTCTGTAGCAGAATCCAGAGGCTGGAATTTCAATAGCAGCGTCATGGTTCCATCTTTGGAAATATTGTAACGCGATTGGGCCTCTTCATACCACGCCCAAGAAAGAATCAGATTTTGCTTGAGAGAATGTACCTGGAGGAAACGAAATATTATTCGAGGACATTGTTGTTCTAAATTTGAATGAAAATTTAGTAGGCGAGTGGTAGAATTTTGTCTGTCCATTGACCCAAAATTTTTTCTGTATGTCAATGACGCTAGTTTACTGAAAACATCGGGAGCTCATTTGTTTCAATATGAATTTTTGTTCTTAGCTTAGTTAATAATAATAACATTTATTGGTCCCAAGAAACAAACATATATTTATGGAGAAACACAAAAAAAGATAATCTAAAATAGATCAATTCCAAGTATTCGAGAGGTATAAAAAACCCCCATTTTCATAATGAACCAACAATGGGAGATATGTATGGTCGAACCTACGAATTTGGAAATTTTTTATACAAAAATTTCTGAACTTTTAAGGGTCGATTTGGTTATCCGGTATTACTCTTTTCACATGAAATAGGATTTATCAAAATTGAGAGTAAATTTATGATCTTGTAGCCATAATATAATTGAAGTGAGATTTTGTTCCTTTGGTTTTTCATCTCTTGAATATTTTTTCTGTAATAAATAGGAGTTGTATCATCAAGAAATGATTCAAAATCTCCTTGCAACTTCAAACCTGAGATCGAATTTATATAAATGAGAAATAAAATATGTCCGAGAATTGATCCCTGAGGCAAACCCCAAGATAAGTTTCCTCTTGAAGAAAACGAGTTTCCCATATATACTAACTGCTTTCTATGAGTTCATTTACCTGTCCGAATATCGTTGATACAATGGCAACCGTTTGAAAAATAAACATGTATTTTTTTTATTCCAACTTTCAAGGTCAATAACTTCGTAACTAAGCGCGATAGACATATTCTTTATATAAAGTTCTAACATTATTTTGGCTCACTCTATCAGCCCTATCATTTACTACGTTATCTTTTTGGACACCCTGTATCTATGTGAATACTTGGAATTCGAATAATTTTCTAAGGTTAAGATATGATGAATGAATCTCAGTTCGGAAAAGAGGTCACTAGCTCACTGAAAATGTGATGAATGAGGGCGATTTTCGCATTTTCTTTTTCCAATGAACAGACAATATTATACCTCTCGGACAATGTCCAGGGTCCAGGCAAGCTTAATATACCTCGGCGTTTTCTCCAAGACTTATATCGACGATCTCCTTCACAAACTCTTGCAACCCCTCCAGCTCCCTCACCATCCCCACCTTCTCCTCGTCGCTTCCTACATCGATCTTCACCCGCCTCCCTTGATGCAGCAGAGCCTTCACCTCGGACTCCAGAGCCACGCACTCGTCCCTCACCATCATGGCCAGCAGAGCGTCAGTCTCCCCTTTCACTTTCTCGTCGATCACCGCCCTAGCGTCCACGCCCACCTGTGGAGCGGGGGCAGCCTTGCTCTGATTGGCCGACGGGACCGCAGCGGGCGTGTCCAGGGCGGAGAATATTGACGAGTACTTGTTCTCATTGGTCGTGGCAGCAGCGGGAGATTGCTTGGGCTGGACAGGTGTCAGAGTGGTCTGGCCTCCGAACAGCGGAGCAGCAGATTTAGGTGGAACAGATTGTTGGGGTTTGACAGGTGTCAGTGTCGCCTGACCGCCGAATAGAGGTTGGGCTTCGCCGGATTTGCTACCGGCACTTATTGGTATCGTTTGAGGTTGGGCTAAGGGTTGAGGTAGGATAGTTGTGGGTGGTTTAGATACCGGTGGTGGTGTAGCTTTACCTACTGTAGGTTGGGATAATGCGAATGCTGAAGGTGGCTGTGTGGCCTTTGCTGCTTCATTAACAAATTGTGCCAACCCGCTAGTATCAGCAACATTATCTGGGGGACAGCAGATACTGGGAGCGCCCTGCTTCAAATTGACGATGTTAAAGAAACACAAGACGCCTTGGTGAGAGAGTATCAAAAGATAGGGGCAAGGTGGGATGGTTCCCTCGCCCCAGGGCAGAGGATTTGTGGGGCTGATATCGAGTGCCAGGCCCACAGGCAATGTTTCTTGCTTGTCAGGGCTGAGAGGCAGCTCTGCGCGAGCGGAGTCCGAGATTATCCATTGGGTCCAGGTTTCTGGGGTGGAGGTGCCCAACACCCCCACTTCGGTGCTGTTGGCTGAGGCTACCATGAGGATGTTCCTGAAACGCGAGATGGATCGTGAAAACGACCCTGGTCATCGAACATTACAGCTTGACCATGAAAGAAGTGTGGTAGCTATAAATCGTTTATGGTGAAATAATGCATTGTTTTTTGTTTCTATAACATGGATTTCCATATGAAGATTTTTATGTCAGCAATGTGAAGGAATGTCGAGAGATAGTCAATAATCAACCAATGCATTTTTACAACACTAGATTTTTTGAAGATTTCATCGAATTATACCTTGAGCCTTTCCACAATTGGCATTTTAATGTCCCCTATTCATATCAAACACGATATCACAATATCTGGTTCAGAAATGATTGTCTCTAGACTGTTGGTGACATTATCAAACTTATGTGGAGTTGGCACCGACTTTTTTGAAAAACTGAGTTTTTATCGGAGTTCTGGTGGGTAGATACGATACAGTTCTGGAGTTCCTGACAAAAAATTTCAATAGTTCTGGTTAGTTGTAGAAAATAACTGAAAAACAAAATTGTGGGTGCTAACTTCACGCGGCGCCGTTTTTTTCACAGAAAAGAGTTCTGATGAGAAATTTCGACGTATTTGAAAGAGTTCTGGAGTTCCTGATATATTTCAACGATAGTTCCAGCGAAATAACAAAGTTATTCCTATTTTTAATAGTGACATTCATACGCTCATGTAGTATCCACCACTTTCTAAAGTTTGGATCGGAGTTCTGGGTAGCACCAGTCGAGTTCCACATACTATCTAGGTAACTTTTTTCTCTAAAATCGAAACTCTAGTTTTTACAAGCAGAAACGAGGGACCGATTAAAAAAAAAAGTGTTTTGTGAACGATTTGGAAAAGAGAGACAATAGAGGAGTTCTGATCGGAGTTCTGGGTAGCACCAGTAGAGTTATACATCTTGATAACTGTTTCTTCTCAAATCAAAACTTTTGTTTTTATAAGCAGAAAAGAGGGACCAATAGAAAAAGAATATGTTTTTTGAACGATTTAGAAAGGAGAAAAAATAGAGAAGTTCTGATCGGAGTTCTGGGTAGGTTCTGAAGTTTTGATTTTAGAAAAAAACTTATCTAGGTAGTATGTAGAACTCGTCTGGTGCTACCCAGAACTTCGATCAGAATTCCTCTATTGTCTCTCCTCTCCAAATCGTTCACAAAACACTTTTTTTTTTTCAATCGGTCCCTCGTTTTTGCTTATAAAAACTCAAGTTTCGATTTTAGAGAAAACAGTTATCAAATAGTATGTAGAACTCGACTGGTGCTACCCAGAACTCTGATCAGAACTCCTCTATTGTCTCTCCTTCCCAAATTTTCCAAAAAACTTATTTTTTTCAGTCGGTCCCTTGTTTTTTCACTGATGAAAACTAAAGTTTCGATTTTAGAGAAAAAGTTACCTAGATAGTATATGGAACTCGACTGGTGCTACCCAGAACTCCGATAAGAACTCCTCTATTGTCTTTCCTTTTCAAATCTTCCACAAAACTTTTTTTTTCAGTCGGTCCCTTGTTTTTGCTCATGAAAACTTAAGTTCCGATTTTAGAGAAAAAAGTTACCTAGATAGTATGTGAAATTGACTGGTGCTATCCAGAACTCCGATCAGAACTCCTCTATTGTCTCTCCTTTCCAAATCATCCACAAAACAAATTTTTTTCAATCAGTTTCTCTTTTGCGCTTATAAAAACTAAAGTTTTGATTTTAAAGAAAAAAATTATCAAGATAGTATCTAGAACTCGACTGGTGCTATCCAGAACTCCGATCAGAACTCCTCTATTGTCTCTCCTTTTCAAAATCTTTCACAAAACACTTTTTATCAATTGGTCCCTCTTTTCCACTTATAAAAACTAGTTTTGATTTTAGTGAAAAAATGTAAAAAGATAGTATGTGGAACACGACTGGTGCTACCCAGAACTCCGATCCGAACTTTAGAAAGTGGTGGATGCTACATTAGTGTATGAAATGTCCCTATTAAAAATAGGAATAGCTTTGTTATTTCGCCGGAACTATCGTTGAAATATATCAGGAGCTCCAGAACTCTATCAAATACGTCGAAATTTCTCATCAGAACTCTTTTCTGTGAAAAAAGCGGAGCCGGGTGAAGTTAGCACTCACAATTTTGTTTTTCAGTTATTTTCTACAACTAACCAGAACTATTGATATTTTTTGTCAGGAACTCCAGAACTCTATCATATCTACCCAGAACTCCGATAAAAATTCAGTTGTTCAAAAAAGTCAGTGCCAACTTCACATAAGTCATTAACAATATTGAATCAAAAATCTGTTTCTCAATTTTCAGTACAGGAGGAAAATGCCCTTAGAGAGATTTACTTTCCCTCTTTTGTGCTTCACCTGTGGTTTGTGGTTTGAATGAATAACATTGGTCATCAGCCATCATATATTTTTGCACAAAAAAGGAAGCTCAATTCCACCTTCAACAGATCTGGGAAAAATTCCCCAGGAATGAAGACTTTAACAAGATTATTTTAAGGAAATGCTAATATCAATGTGAATGAGAGCTATGCCATTTGAGCAAAGTGGGTAAACATAGTTTTCTAACAGATCAAACTTCTTGAAGTCAATCATATTATGTAACTTGCCATGAGAATCCCAATGTTGTTTATTGTTTTTCTGAATTAATAAATGCTATAATTGTAAAATGTTTTTGTTCTGCTTCTCAAGTTTGAAGAAATTATTCTAATTTTAAAAACAAACTTGGGCATAAAATGAAATTTTGTGGGAATATATGAGAAATTATTTCATCTTGACAACACTGATTACATGCCATATGAATTTAATCCATTTTTATATATATTTTACGGGATAAAACTGGTTGGTTTTTTTTTCATTTGAAATATTCTGATTTTTAGTAGAATAGATAATTTGTACTCTTGCATTTCTACCAAGTGTTAATGATTTTACAGAAATGGAATGTCCACTAGTTTATGGTGGTAATTTGATGCCAATAAATTCCAATATTGTGGAAGTGGAAATTACTATTCCATGTATTTTTCAATTTCTTTGTCTTACCAGTGTTGTTGCAACAACATATAAAATTGTGGAACGCGACCTGATCCACTATAACAAACATCATCATAATTTGTGTAACTGGTTTCTCCAGTTTTTGGTGCATCAACCACAATTAATGTAGCCTGCCCTCCTGCCCCCTCAGACTGGTATACTCCAACAAACTGGTAATTTGAAACCCACTGCAAAGAAATCAGAGAATGTGGCTTCTGCAAAGGTGGTTCATTGATAACTTTCACTGCTTTCAAATCAGGTTTATACTGAGTTATTTTGCCATTTTTCGAGCCCACTGCAATCTGCTTCCCTTTGGGGCTCCAACAGAAACTCGAGGTCTGAGCTGCAGGTGGTAGCTCATTGATGTCAACTGAACTGCCTGCAAAATATCAACAGCTGAATTTAAAGCAGCAGATTGCTTCCTCACTTGCATACCTTTGATTTCATAAACTCCAAGGGTTCCATCACTTTTACAAGCAGTGAAAATTGGAGGCAAAGCTGGGTTCCAGGCAACTTCACTTACTGTTACTTCAGGTGTTGCTGATAGACGCACCTCTTTGATAACAACAATATTTTGTTTGTAAAATGAAAGTAAGTCATAAAAGATGACTGTTGGACATTTATCTGTCTCCACAACAACTGCTAAAATGGTGCTATCACAATTTACACAGACATGTTTGGCTGGTGATGGTAATGAAATGGTCCTTCTAGGATAGTTGGAAATATCTTTATCTTTCAAAGAATATGTTCCCACACTCTTCAGTAGAACAACTGGAAAATATAGGAAGGTTAGATGACATCTATATGGTGGTATTGGCCATTTACCTTGCAAACTTGGTGAATTTGAACCAATGAATAACAAACCAAACCGACTAGCACATGATATCAAGCTGTGGGGAATGGAAAAGGTTTCCGAATCTTTATTATCGAAAACTTTCAATCGACAATGTAATTTGAATTGGATATCCTGTAAAACATGTTGGAAATAGTATTTGAGGATTTTTTACTGAGACTAATCATTAAAGTACCTGTACATCTACCGGATTTGGGCAAGTTTTCAACATTTTGTAGTTCTACTCTATTCTCGAGTTTTAATTCATCACAATACCTTAACGTTTTATCGAGACCATCTATTTCAATTCGGAATTTCGGAAAATTCAAAACTGAAACGTATATTTGACCTTTTTAACCTAAGAAAAATTGCTTCTTCTTTACTTAGCCAATGGCCAGCTACACCAGTGGCCAGTGAGTTCTGTAAAAACGAGAAGAATTAACCTAATTCAGTAATTTTTGTCACTTCTGTCAGTTTCTGTTCACTTAATTTTTTGTTTTCAAGTCGAGCATCTGTTCGTGTTCACCAAAATTTCCATAGTTTTTATTTTCAACATTCTATAAATGGGAGGTGGTCGAAATAAAGTACCAGATGGATGGATCGGATGTCCACAAAACGGAAACTATCTGATAGCAGGCAAATTTATGGCATTGAAAACCCCCCTGTGTGACAGATTTGAAAACAATTTGGTCCCTGGAGATACTTATCCTCCTAATGAGATATTCGTGAGAGCCAAAAGGAATAAGGTAACCCTAATGAAATGTTCTCATGAAAAATGATTCTAAATATTTGATATTTAGGTGAGAATTGGTTTGTGGATAGACTTGACCAATACTGATAGATATTACAAAAAGGAATCAATCGAATATGAAGGATGTAAATACGTTAAATTAGGCTGTCCAGGACATGGAGATTGTCCATCAATAGAAGCAACAAATAGTTTTATACACATAGTAGATAAATTCGTGAAAGAACAACCTTCTGATTGCATAGCAGTACATTGCACTCATGGATTCAATAGAACAGGATTTTTAATTGTGTCTTTTCTTGTAGAGAAGCTGAATATTGATGTTGATGAGGCTGTGAAATTGTTTGCTGATGCCAGGTGAGATTCCTGAACAAATATGTTTCATTATTACTTAAAAAAGTATTTGCTTCTTTTTCAGACCTCCTGGCATATATAGAGGAAACTATATAAGTGAGTTATTCAAGAGATATGGAGTAGCTTCAGAAGCACCCTCAGCCCCTAAGTTGCCCCCTTGGTGTGGGGATAGACATTTGAGGAGAAGGAGAAGATAATATTCATCATCTAATTTGATTGATATATAGGTACAGATGTGGTCAGGGACTCTGATAGTATTTATAACTAATTATACATCATAGGAATTCTCATTTTTAGTTGAATAGAAAAAATCATTAAAGCAAAAGAATACAGATAAAAACATATAAAACAGCTCCCATTGTTTTTGTATAATGATCATTATTTATTTAGGGATTGTAATTGTGGATTTATGCTGTTTTTATTATGTTGATTGAACAGACCATATATAGTTTAATTCCATAATATTTGTACAATTGGTTCAATTCAGAAGAACATAATTGAATGTTGTTCATCAAATGCAAAACAAACTGAACTGATCAAATATAAAGTACCTACAATTATTATTTCTGTATCTTATACTTTTATGCTCATACACAGAATGATTATAAGCTATACCATTATCAATGATTTTTTTTTATACCTACAGTGTGAATCATTTAAGACCGGATCACCCTCATAAAATCTATAGTTTTTGACCGATTTCTTTTTTTTTTTCGTTTCAGCAGAAGGACTATCTGGAGATCTACGTTTACAAAAATTTGCAAAATAAAATTTCAATCTACAGGGCATACTATATTATTTTTTTCAAGTTAAAAATTATGAAATATCATTAGCGATTTTTTTCAAAAAAAATCGACCCCACCACTGAATTCAGCATCTTTCAATTAGGTTGAGTCCAAAATTTCATCGAAAAATTTCAATTGGCAACAAAGTTATAACAACATTAATTTTGATGACTCACCATTTTTTATGAATATTTCAGACAAATTCTGAGAAGCGGCAACATTGTCAACACAAATGTTGGAAATCATCGAGGTTTCTGAATTATTATCGAGTTATAATAGTTCAGTCATTGGGGATCCAAAATAAGGCTTACCTGGAAAAAAGTCCGGAAGTTTTGAAACTTTGTAGGATTATAGTTTTGAGTGTTTAGAACTAAAATTCACAAAATGCACATTCCGGGACATGCCGCCGGCGCTGCCATCTTGCCAAGATGGCGCTCAAAAACGGTTTTTTGAAAATATCTCCAAAACGGTACGTTTTTAGAAAAAACATGAGGATATAAAAATTTAAGATGAAGAAATTTTCTACAAGAAATGTTCTGAGCATATTTCTGCTAAAGAGAGCCGTTTAGGCTCAAGAGCTGATTGAATGACAACATATTCTGTTAATTTCTATAAACTGCCCCTAATCTCCATATATGCGAATAAATTCATATTTTATAATAAAAAACGGGCTATTCAATTTGTTCCTCGTTATATTGGACGATTTTTAGATCAATTATTATGCGACAAAAATTTTGCATTTGTGACTTGCGATTATTTGGGCGATATAAAAATTGCATTATCGACGAATCTGGCGACTTTGCTCCAGAAGTATGTGGGTGCAGGATGGTTATGAGTAAATTTCGTACCTATACTATGTATCCGTAGATATAGGTATCTTCTCGTACTGTAAAACCGCCCATAAATTCATAGAAATTTGAAATTTTGCTTTCTTGTCCTTACCACTACATCCCAATATGAGTAAATACACAAAATATATATTTCAGATGAGATATTTTTATAAACGGTAAAAACACAAGAACTTTTTCATCAACTAAATTACCTTTCCTAACGAACACAATTTGCCAATCAGTAATTTTACGAGAAAAACGGACATGAAAAAATTGCGAGACCGTAGGTCGAGTAATTTTGATGTGCTGAATATATGTACTTATTTAAAAAAAAAACTCGTATGAATAGCAAAAAAAATTTAGTTTCATTAGACTCTTTGAAAGAATAATAACATCACACAAATTGGGCGATTAGGCCTACAGGGGAAACCACGTTAAAAAAAACGCGCCGTGTACTTAACCTCTTGGGTGGTGTGGAAACAAGTACAGCATCTAAAATCGAAATTGATTGATCATAAATAATTAACATGGATTAATTGATGAATTCATCGATTGATTGAATAATGGATATCCACCGTTTCGTGATAAATATTTTTTAAGTCCTTAAATATCAGATTTGGGGACCCCTAATTCACATATTATTTCCGGAACTCGCCACTACAGAAAACTTACGCAACATTTGTAATTTGGTAAGGGCACTTGTGCCTCAACCAGGGTACTTTCGCGAGAATATTCCAGGAACATATTTTATAGGAAATATCCTCTATCAGCAAGCTATAAATATAACGAGAAACCAATAATATAGCCCGGTTCATTATAAAAGATAAATTTATACGCATATTTGGAGATAGTTAGGGGCAGTTTATTGAAATTAACAGAATATGATGTCATTCAATCAGCTCTTGGGCCTAAACGGCTCCCTTCAGCATAAATATACTGAGAACATTTCTTGTAGAAAATTTCTTCATCTTAAATATTTATGTCTTCATATTTTTTCTGAAAACGCACCGTTTTGGAGATATTTTCAAAAAACCGTTTTTGAGCGCCATCTTGGCAAGATGGCGGCGCCGGCGGCATGTCCCGGAATGTGCATTTTGTGAATTTCAGTTCTGGACACCCAAAACTATAATCCTACAAAGTTTCAAAACTTCCGGACTTTTTTCCAGGTAAAAATCCCCAATGACTGGCCTATAATCTCTAGAATGAAGTCGGAAAAACAGCTTTTCATAATAAGTTAATTATCAATATAAACCAACAATTTCTGAAAGCTCTTGATGTTTTTGGCTTCTGATATCATCTTACTATACAGACTATCCGATTTTCTTACTCTAATTACTTGGATGAACAAAGCCGATTTTTCGACGTTATGGATTTTTCATTTTATTCCATTTTAGATGTCATAACTCGATATTAATTCGTGTAATCAATTCAAATGTATACCAGAAACCTATTGATGATTTCCAACATTTGTGTTGACAATGTTGCCGCTTCTCAGAATTTGTCTGAAATATTCATAAAAAATCGTGAGCAATCAAAAATAATGTTATAACTTTCTTGCCAATCGATATTTTTCAATGAAATTTTGCGCTCAACCTAATTGAAGGATGCTGAATTCAGTGGTGGGGTCGATTTTTTTTTTAAATCGCTAATGATATTTCGCAATTTTTAAGATGAAAAAATAACATAGTATGCCCTGTAGATTGAAATTTTATTTTGCAAATTTGTGTAAACGTAGATCTCCGGATAGTCCTTCTACTGAAACAAAAAAAAAGAAATTGGTTAAAAACTATAGATTTTATAAGGGTGCTCCGGTCTTAAGTGGGTCACACTGTATTTATTTTATACTAACAAAACTATATTCTGTCTAGTACAAAATATAATCTCCAAATGTTGAAAAAAAAATCCAATACCTACCTCCTGTCCCTATCCTCCCTAGGAACGCACGATGTTCTTTGAACATTATAGGGATTCCCTTTCGTGCGCTCCAAGCGATAAAAAAAGGCCATTGTACTTTTACTTTTTACCCTTGGTTACAAATGAAAAATGATTGTCTTATAAAGAAAAAGTATCAAAGTGTAAAGTGTAACTTCCCAGGTTTCCATCTGAATCCATATAAATAAGTTCTATCAAAATTGTAATCTCCAAGAATTTTGTAGTTATAAATTGAACAAACTTAAAATCAATGAGAATGATGGATTTATGAATCCGAATATTTTACTTTTGTATGCATATGTATACCGGGTGGCATTTAAACATTCCGGTATAGGATTCGGCACCTGCTTAAATTCTATTGGCGGATTTTGATTTGTCTGACCAATTAAAGGCGAAGTGCCGAAATCCGTACCAGAATGTTGAGCGGTGCTGAAAAGCAGGTCGGAATGTTGCCCTGCATTTTGCGCAGTTTTTGTTTACATTTACCCTCGCATTTACCTAACCTGCGTATTTTTTGATTATACCGTCGTTCCCACATGCTAACAACAAACCTGCAATCTTGTTATTATAGTTAAGTGCAATCATCAATTAGTGAAGTATACCATAAATCACTAATTATGGAAAGATTAATAAAAGTTTCAGAAAATTTGTATAGGGGCAATATGAAGAATGAAACAGAGAAGTTGTGCAATGGATGAATGATTATGAAGCTCAGTCGTTTACATCATGAGCCTAGTTACTTTAGCAATAAAGTTCAGCAATATTTTTTATTTTTTCCGTTACGCATTCTGCGATAACAATTTTCCAGTATGTTTATTGAGGATACTCAAGGAAGAAATGTACTAATCGAAACAGATTTTCCGGATGTCCAGGGCCGGACAGGGGCCAGCAATATTTTATAACTTTCTTATTAGGGATCCTGCCACTTACATATTTCCGTATGTCATTCGGAAAGACAAAACGAAGAAATGTACAGTATCAGAATATTTAATCCGGGCGTCCAGGGCCGGACAGGGGCCAGCAATATTTTATAACTTCCTTATTAGGGATCCTGCCACTTACATATTTCAGTATGTTATTCAGAAAGACAAAACGAAGAAATGTACAGTATCAGAATATTTAATCCGGGCGTCCAGGGCCGGACAGGGGCCAGCAATATTTTATAACTTTCTTATTAGGGATCCTGCCACTTACATATTTCAGTATGTTATTCAGAAAGACAAAACGAAGAAATGTACAGTATCAGAATATTTAATCCGGGCGTCCAGGGCCGGACAGGGGCCAGCAATATTTTATAACTTTCTTATTAGGGATCCTGCCACTTACATATTTCAGTATGTTATTCAGAAAGACAAAACGAAGAAATGTACAGTATCAAAATATTTAATCCGGGCGTCCAGGGCCGGACAGGGGCCAGCAATATTTTATAACTTTCTTATTAGGGATCCTGCCACTTACATATTTCCGTATGTCATTCGGAAAGACAAAACGAAGAAATGTACAGTATCAGAATATTTAATCCGGGCGTCCAGGGCCGGACAGGGGCCAGCAATATTTTATAACTTCCTTATTAGGGATCCTGCCACTTACATATTTCAGTATGTTATTCAGAAAGACAAAACGAAGAAATGTACAGTATCAGAATATTTAATCCGGGCGTCCAGGGCCGGACAGGGGCCAGCAATATTTTATAACTTTCTTATTAGGGATCCTGCCACTTACATATTTCAGTATGTTATTCAGAAAGACAAAACGAAGAAATGTACAGTATCAGAATATTTAATCCGGGCGTCCAGGGCCGGACAGGGGCCAGCAATATTTTATAACTTTCTTATTAGGGATCCTGCCACTTACATATTTCAGTATGTTATTCAGAAAGACAAAACGAAGAAATGTACAGTATCAAAATATTTAATCCGGGCGTCCAGGGCCGGACAGGGGCCAGCAATATTTTATAACTTTCTTATTAGGGATCCTGCCACTTACATATTTCAGTATGTTATTCAGAAAGACAAAACGAAGAAATGTACAGTATCAGAATATTTAATC